CTAACTGTACACCATACTCCCTGCCCTTTTAAAATATTAATTGATGAGTAACCATCTATGGAGCCTCATAAAGTATTAACTCCTTAAGTGGGGAAGATCTCTGCTTAACTGCATAGCGCAAATCCTACACGATTTAAATCCCATGCAATCCTATTAAAACCCAAAGAGTTTCAAGCTGTTTACGTTAGTTCAGTATCTAATGCTAACATCTGGTTTTGAAACCTCCTCTATGCAGTATTGGTCTATTGGACCAGCAGGACAGGGGAAAGTAAGCTCAATCTTCTTGAGCAACGTGGGAATATATATAAACGAGGTCTACATCTTGAACTTCAATGCTTAATCTATTTTTTGGCTTGCTACTTTTCAGCGACTTCCATTTTATGAACTACATATCGGGTTAGCTAGCATTTGAACAATTGCGCTACGTCTCCTGAATTGCCATACTTGAATTTGAAGATAATGGTCTGCGTCTCCCTTAATACTGGCCACTGGGTAGTCAGTGCATGGAAGTGTCAGACTGAGACAGACTCATTTATTTTGTGAAATACATAGTCCAGATACCGTATCTATTTGGAGGTCTAGTTTCTCTTTTCTTTTTTTTTTTTTTTTTCATGTTTCAGCTATTCAACTTACCTAACTGACCTGAATGTAAGCAATTTGTTAGGCTTGTGATTTTTGTGGTTCAGAGGAAAATTTTGAAGCTGTCACACCAAAGATGCATGACTGCAGTACATCACAATTATAGCTGGACTTCATAAAAAGTAGATGGAAATGGGCAAAGCTGTGAAAAAAAATTTGGCCTTCACAGATATCCACTGCTTTCTACAAGTAAGTAACTTGCAGATGACGAATTGCCTGCAATGGCAGGGGAAGGGCTTGATAGCCCTTCTGGGGTGTATGAGAGAGCCTGACAGATGTTTAATATACTTGAAATGAAACACTAATAGCTTGAAGATCAGCAGTGCTGACCAACCCTGCTGGTACTAGCTCAAACATTATAGATGCTAAGCAACACCCCCCAGCCACTTAAAAATGGTAAGGGAATTTTCTAAGATATACTCTATTGTCTGTGAATACCTCCAGCCATTATTCACCATATAGCAGTAATGACTTGACTCACACCTAAAGAAATCAACAGATGGGCTCTTTCCTCTTCATATAGAAATGTCAGTTTAATGTAAGAAGGATAAAGCTGACAGAGTCATGTGCCAACTATGCCAAAACATAAAGAAATATTGCCAGGTGTAGGGATTTTTTCTTTAAACACATATTCCTTCAAACTTTAGTTTTGTTTACTAAATTCCAAGGTATCTTTATATAAGAGACATCAGAAATACGATATCTGATTGCTGATACTAGATTTCTGTTTATACTGCTAAGTTAGTGACTGAACAAGTGTACACTCTGTCTTTAATTGCTACCACCAGGAGCAAATTTTCCCTAATGATTTCCTCCCTCACTGAGTTGTAAATCTACAAAAGTCATAAAAAACTGGTCATGTGCCTTCTTAGAAGTCAGATATGAAGGACCCAAACAGGTGGGAGCCATAACTACAAACATATGAAGGTAACAGAATTAGCAATTATATGTATTTGTGTGATACCTTCATCAAGTTATTCTCCTGGCAAACTTTAAGTACCCACTGAAGTCATACTTAGTTGTGAAGTAAATGTTTTCAAGACCCAATAAATTAATTTAATAAATTAATTATTAGTTTTGCAACTTTCCTAACTATTCAAGCTCTAGGGGTTTTAGCACAGTAGCAGTATGTATACTGCTACAGGATGGCCCATTACAGCATGTTTACTACACTCTGTTCACTTACTTGAAGTTATATTAATGAGACAGTACACTGGAGGTGCTATGTATAAAGTACTTGAGGAGCCATAATCCAAAGGACACAGATGCATTATATAGCAATATGTGTACTATGCCATAAGGCCAACATGTACTTAGAACGTGTAAATGGATTTGCTCCTAGGTCCCAGGAAGTGTGTACTGAAAGTGTATTTGAATTTTGTCATTCTGAGCAGTTGTACTAAAGTCCAGGCGTTAAGGTGTTCATGATGAGGAGAACACGTGTGAGAGTCTGGTCTTCAAGCCTTCAGCGTTCGAGTGTGCTCACCTGTAAATATGCCCCTAATCCATAGGAAAAGGTGCTGGGAGGCTTTAGCATTTATTAAAGAGTGAGCTGCTTTCCCGTGATAGGGCTGTCTGACTAACACATGGCAGTCGTTCTTCCAAATTTCAGCTACTTCGTAGCAGCCTGAAGTTCTGCCTCTCAAACTCACGCTAGTCAGGAATCGCAATATCTCCTCTGTGTCATCTTCTGAGTACGCTAGATAAAACACTTTTTCTGGACTTTGGTACAACAAGGGACTAAGTGCCACAGTTGTCTATGAATACACAGGACTGGAAGCAACCTCACTACATTAGTGCTACATTAGTTTTTCAAAATTGTTTTTCTGCTGAAATGTTTTCAAATGCATTTTGAAGGTTGTTATTATCCATGTTGTTTCTGTTCCTATATTTGGAGTCATAATAGTGTTTTGCCACAGAAACAAGTCATCGTGGGGTAATTAGATACTGCACAAACTGTTCTGCAGTAGCTGCAGCAAACATGAACTTGTTAACCTATGCAACAGGGAGTACCTGAAGAAAGCTTAGCCCTCTGTGAATGACAGGACAGCTCCCTCAGCAAGGGACACCATGTGATAAAAGCCTGGACACAGACACTTTTCACACACTGACTTATGCCTTTGTTGAAGTCTTTAGCTTTTGAAGTACATCAGTTCTCTTAGGGGAAAAAAAAAAAAAAAAAGGCTCAAACAACATTTTTATGAAATCATTGAGAATTTTTCCATTACTTCTAAAAAAGAACATTACATTTCCAAAAAACAAAGCTTATCTCATTACCCCAGTGATCAGAAGGTTCTTTTGACTTCATCTACTGAAATGACAATACAGCATGCTTTCTGATTGTATTTGCAGTTCTAAAATGTAAATAAGCAGATTATATGTTTACTAAAAATATCTGTTTGCAAGTAATGGCATCAACTGCACAGTCATAGCTTTTGCCTATTCCACCGTATCACTTCAAATGCTCACAAGACTGGAAAAATTGATGTTAATAACATTTGTTTATAAACCAGTTTGTAGTCTATTTGTTCTCTGGCCAGATGTGCCTAATTCCTGTTGTCATCCTTGCAAGCGCATGGATGCACAAACAGCAAGAAGGAACCCCACATGCTGCACTCCACTTTCTCTCAGTTTAGGATTCATGCTGGTCAGTTTGTCTTGGGCACAGAGCTCTGTGACCCAGTGGGGAAAGTCCCTCAAGCACCATTGTAACAAAGTGCCTGACCATGTGAGAGGCACCTGGAGCTCATAACCACCTACCCAGGACTGAGTGAGGACCAAAGCTGGGAGCACAGGCAGCACACAGCCCGCCAGGCCCTGTGCACAGCCCAGCACACATGACGAGATGGTGCTGGCAGTGCGGTGAAGGTTCCAGTTACTTTTGGGACCTCACTGGGCAGCTGAGCTTCCCACTGGCAAAATAACAATTCAGCAATTCCAGAGAAGTGGTCTCGGGAGGGGATTTAGGTACCCACCGACTGGATCCTTTTAGAGCCTGGGGTTAAAGCAATAACCCATTTACTTTTCATTTTCCACTAATCGGGAAGACTGCAGCAGTGTCCCAGTAGCGCTGAATGTGTATAGTGAATAGTGTGAATAGTGTATGCTATTGCTGCTGGGAGAGCTCTTTTCTTTTAAAGAGGCTGTTTTACATAGGGAATACCTTAGCTCTCCTCCTTGGAGTATAGCATCTAATAAAAAAGTAATAATAAAATCCCAGAGCCTGCGTCAGAACTCTACCCACACAGACAGATAATTTCGACTCACTCTCCAGAAACCTAGCTATAAGTGCAGAATAGCGTAGCAGTCTTCCTACGTTAGACCCAGGCAGCCACTGCCTTTAGACTCGGGCCAGCAGAAACCTTCCCTGTCAAGCAGCTGTTTTGCTCGTACAGTACCTCCTAAGGCTAGACCCAGCTGTAAGCTCCTCGTGACAAGGACCTCCCTATTTTCACATGTTTACACAGCACATAGCATCACTATGAAGTTCACAGGAAGATCTGTCAGGCGCTATCATGATATCAATCATAAGTAAGAAACAGAGGATCAGTAAAAGCACATTATTCAGGTAAGCCGCAAAGAACATTCATTATGTAAGGTTACTACTTTTCTCCCTTTACTTCTATATCTTCAAAGTACCATACTGCCAGGAGGAAAAACTTTTCATATGCAAGTCAATTAAAAATTCAGAGCCATGTCATTTGAGCTGGAAGTTGGTTTTCACTAAGGTAAATCGAACCACATTTAAAAATTAATAAATAAATAAAAGGCTGTGAAAAAAAAAATATCCTTTTCTGGGTGGTGTACATAAGGATTATTGTGCCAAAACTGTCACTTATATCCTGTTTCAACTGCTGGCTCATTAAACAGTGAAAGTTCACTGCTGGGTCTGCCAAAGAAGGTGAGGCAGGTGAAACACCCCAAGCCCCCAGGCAAAATTCTCTTCTCGGAACCTGTGAGATAAATCAATCTTTCCAACCGCGAACAAAATCCTCTGAGTGATCTGCTGCTTAGTGTGAAAATACCTAACAACATCTATTGGCATCAATCCCCTCCCTGAGCCCCACCACTCCCCCAGGTCCTTACTGTAATAAGGAAGAGAAAACACAAGCAAAAATCCCCAAACCCAAACATCTCAAAAGGCAGGTATTTTCCCAGCTCAGGCTCCTGAGCTGCCCAGGTGACAGGGAAAATTCAGAAGTAGGAGTGTCAGAGCAGGCACCGCAATGAGAGGTGGCTCATAGCACTCTACCGCTGACCCTGGCACAGGGCTCCAAATAAAAATCAAAGCAACACATCTCTTTTCAAAACAAAGAAAGAGTGACAAAAAAAAAAAAAAAAAGATCTCATTCTCTGAGTACCTTTGATTCCTGGCTGGTAGTTGATGCTGGAGAAGGGGGCTGCTCTGTGCTCTCCACTTCATTCTCTTTCTCCACACTATCCACGCTGACTTCAGTCGTGCTGCTTGGAGGAATCATTTTACCTCTGAAACACTGCTACTATGAGGAAAAAAAAGCTACAGATCTTTCTCGCTTTTTTTCATTTAATGTCCTCTTTCTTCTCTGCTCTTCTGGAGCAAGTGAACTCCGACCGTTCGGTTTCACTACATTTGCAAGACTAGAATTCTCTGGATTGCCTTTTTTTCCCTTCTCCTCCTCGCCCCCCCCC